TGGATCGAGCCTTCGTTGCCCCTTTTTTTAAGTTAGCGAGGACTAGGCCCAAAGCATCTTGAGGGAGAAGCATGTCCCATGGGGAGTACTCTGTTTTTCTTCCAGCGGCTGCGTGTTTGGTGCTGACGTTTCCGGCAGCTTGACGAAGAGTTGAAGATGACTTGTTGATGTTCCAGCAGCTTGACGAAGAGTTAAAGATGACTTGCTAATGTTGATATGAAATTATATGAGCTTGGCATGAGAGCTTGGAGTGTGGGAGCTAAAGATCCACAAGTTTAGCAAATAAGAATGCATGTGCTTGGCTTGGTGTTGGATATGCTTGAGTTTGGGTGTTGATAATTTGTTGTTTGTGGCTATGGTGTTTATAGCTTGGAAGGAAGGGAAAGCTTGGAGTTATGCTTGATGAGGCTTTATGGATTTAAGAGTTTCAAGAGGAGGATAATGGGAGGAAAAACTTGAGATTTGAAGGCTATGGTGTTTATAGCTTAGAAGGAAGGAACGTGATTTGATGGTTGCTGGGGTGCTTGAGCAACCAAGAGGTGTTGGTCGATGGCAGCTGGGATGCTTGTAGCAGCCAAAGGATGAAGGTTGATTGCTGGGATGGCCGCTGGAATGCTTGCATCAGCTTAAAGGAGGAAGGAAGATGAGTTCTCATGGTTGCTGAGAAGCTTGCAGCCACCAAGAGAGACTGATTTTGCCTAGCAAATGCCTCTCAATTTATAGAGGGTGAGGGTTTTCCTTTATTTCCAATAGGTAAAGGGAGGTGCTGGAACCAGCTTATTTCCAATGGTTAAAAGGGAGCATTGGGGCATGCTATTTTCCAACAGGTAAAAGTAGGCATTGGAAAATAACTATTTCCTATGGGTAAAAGGGAGTGTTGGAATTGGCTTGTTTTCAACGGGTAAAGCTAGGTATTTGGAAAATGACCATTTCCTATGGGTAAAGGGAAATGCTTGAAAAATATCTCATTTGCTCACCCACATTGGAGAACTCTAAGTAATAGGCTTGGATTTTGGTGCTCCCAAGTAGCTAGCCCAAGGTCTCCATTATCCAAGAGCTTCCGTGGGCCTTGTGGACCTCTGTAACCTTCCACACCACAATCCCTCATGCAAGCCCCATAAACCACATGACTTGGGTTCATGTGAGCTTGATAGGTGATTGACATATGAAAAATGAATTATTGGTCTCGCATGGCATGGACACTATTATTTATTTAATGAATTAATTCACAAAATACAACTTGGCTTAACGCATGACCAACATTTTATGTTATATTGGGCTTTAAATGTCTTTGGGCTTCTCGTGACTTTTTTGGGCCTCAACAAGTAGCATTATTCATATAAGAATTTATGTCTTCTAGTACTATTTTATTCTCGAGATTTTTGTAGAAATGTCACCCGAACTTAATTATTGGTGTCGCATGGCATGGACACTATTATTTATTTAATGAATTAATTCACAAAATACAGCTTGGCTTAACGCATGACCAACATTTTATGTTATATTGGGCTGTAAATGTCTTTGGGCTTCTCGTGACTTTTTTGGGCCTCAACAAGTAGCATTATTCATATAAGAATTTATGTCTTCTAGTATTATTTTAGTCTCGAGATTTTTGTAGAAATGTCACCCGAACTTATACATCAATTTCAATTTGTCACCTTAAAGAAAAATTTAAGCGAAATATCACTTTAAGTTTTCAAAATCCATGATTTGTGACTTGACTTTAACATCATTCAATTTTCCATCCATTTTAAAGGGTATTTTAGTCTTTCCAATATGTAAACCCTCTTTTTTATATAATTTAAATGTAAAGCTATGTAAACCCTCTTGTTTAGAAAGACTAAAATATCCTTCAAAATGGATGGAAAATTGGATGATGTTAAAGTCAAGTAACAAATCATGAATTTTGAAAACTTGAGGTGACATTTCGCTTAAATGTTTCTTTAAGGTGACAAATTGAAACTGATGTATAAGTTCAACATATCGATATCATTGGCCATGAGATCACGCCTAGCAAACCATGTAGTGCTGTCACTGTTGAGTGCATCTTGAATGCGGTGCAGTGCAGCTCACTCAAACACACACCGATCGACACAGTAAAGCTGGTTGCTTTCTCTCTCTCTCTCTTCCTCTTCCTCTCTCTCTATGTGGCCTATGGGATCCAACACACTATCACTTTTGTTACACGCAACATTATATATATATATATATAGTTATTCTCTTATCTGGATCTCCGCACGTTATTATCATGCGAATTCTATTATAAATGGGCAGGAAACAGAGAGAGGTAATACAAAATACATAACGTCCGCACAATAATAACATTCGGATGTCCGCATAAGAGAATTTATATATATATATATTAATATTATGTTTTTCTCCGTCTCCAATTCTTCTTATATAAGTCTCATATAGGAAATTTGACTAAATAAAATAAAAAATATAATAAATGGTTTCACTATTAATATCATGAGTCCTTTTGTGTTAAAACCACACACATACTGAACTTTATAAGTAATTAAATTTTAAATAATATCGGTGCTGCTAGTAGTGAGCCAATTACCATCCTCTCTGAAACCGAAATTTAACACTTTGTCAAAAGATGATTCAAAGTTGATGATCTCTCTATCTATAGCTTAGTCCCACATTTCTATTTTTTAACAAAGACGAGATAAAAAGGATCACATACATGGTGGGGGCAGGCAGAGAGGTATAGCCTATAGGGATGGGATCATCCTTAAACCACTTTAATTATCCCTTACTTAATTAAATATTACCCACACGATACCTAACAATGCTCCATCAAATCTCTTTCAGATTTGTCTCCTTTCTAAATTTCCATAAATTAATTGGTTAATTGGGAATCATCTGAAATGAAGGGCCAAGGGAATCTCATCTCATCCCTTTGTGAATGCTACGTGAGTGGACTGCGGACGGCCTCTATTCAAATCTCTATCAGCAGCTGTCATCTGTGTTTTTCTTTTATTTATTTTCATTTGTTTGTTTTTATATTTAGAGTTTAAATATCTTAGGTTAAACTAATTACGTGCAGCTTCATGAACCAGTAGTAGCTAGGCAACGAGCACCAGCTGTCACGTATGGGACACGATTATGTATTTTCATGGTTTTCTCCCCAATTCCATCAATAAAGATTCCGATGCTGTTTCTCCACACTCCAGTTCTGCTTGCCATCCCATCCCATCCCATCGATCGAATCTCTGGTCAAGAAAAAAGCAACCCCATCATTCATGTCCTCATGCATCATATATGCATGATGGACCATACCTTACAATTATCATGCTTGTAATTCGTATAAGATCAAAGCATTTATTTAATTAATCTAATCCTACACAGAACACACGAAAAAAAAGGAAGTTAAGTCCCGAGAAAATGAAACTTACATACATGCTGCTGGTTGAGTCAAAAATTGGAAGCTCTGTCCGTCTCCCCGATAAGCATCAACCTGCTTGCTTCATTTTAGCGTCTTTCATAAACCTGCTGAGTCAAACTGTCAAACTATAGAATAATGAATCCATTTTTAATCAAACCATTTCCCAGAAAACAATAAGAAATAAACCGAGCAACTGGAACAAATTACAAACAGAGATGAGGATGAGAGAGAGAGAGAGAGGTGCTCTGTTTCACGTAAAATCATAACAGAGTGACACAACACAGACGTTTATGCAACGTGACACGCAAAATCTGACGGGAAACGGCAATGGAAAAAACTGTTGTGGAAAAAACAATGACTGCTATATGGTATAATGGATTTTGGAAGATAAAAAAACAAGAAAAACAGAAATGTAAAAAGACAAAATCACTCACCATGATTCAACATGAAAAAACGAAATTGGACTGAAATTCATTAATCGCCACGGATATTGAAAACCAATCCATCTGAACGATTACAGCTCTAGCGCCAATCCCATTACATCATATGATCAAATACTATACGATAATTCATCATCTTCTTTTTTTGTTCGTATTTTCTCTTTCGTAGGGGGGTAGTGGGGGTGTTTGGTAGTATTTAATTCGTAGTATTTAACCGGCCGTGGCATATATATTTATAGTACTCAGTCCGAGACTCCGAGAGTGTCACATGTGTTGTTATTGCCAGTGGTTGCCGTTGTGAATGAGATAGAGCCGACTACTAGGGTTTCCATGAGCATGGCAAATATTAGCACAGTGAGGAACCTTGACGGCTGATTTCTGAAAAGGCGTCGTAGTCTCTGAGATTTGGCGGACACAGCGGTCAACTGGCGTGGACACCATGGGGAACCTGGGAGTGGACCCGGAAGCAGCAGCACTGTAGTAGTAGTTAGACGAGGAGGAAGTGCCAGAGGACGACGTCGTGGAGGCGGAGGCCGAGGAAGACGGCGTAGGCGATGGCGTTTTGTATGGTTTGGAAGGGACGAGGGAAAGGAAGGCTCTGATCTTCAAATTGGCAAAAGGCGGTGGAGATGCAGAGGCGGCTGCTCTGTCGTATTCTTCGATGAGATTGGCCAGATCCTCATCGGACTTGATGGACACGAGGGCGTCGAGATCCTCGGTGGGCAACTGACAACGTAGGATCACGGTCACGGATGGTCCACACAGCTCACCCAGCTTCAACAACAGCTCTGTAAACACACCACACCACAACAAATCAGTCAATCAATCCTATGTACTCTTTATATATCATCGTGGATGGCATAAAGAAACAGAGAGTAAACGGGAGTTAACTGACCGGAAAAGGAAATGTTGCGGTGGACGGCGAGGACGCGGGTTTCGCCGCCGAGATAACGAAGCTTGCCGTCAGGATAACGGGGGAGGATTTTGCCGCCGTAGCTGCAGAGGAACTTGATGGTGGAGGGCTTGGTGGGGTCAGGCGAGGGTCCTACCATTCTGGGTTTGGTTTGGTTTAGAAGAAGAGTTGGGAAGAGAGGTTAGAAGATGTGTTGGAGACTAGGAGTTGCGTGCTCAAGCCTATGTATGGTACCCTTTGGCCTTTATTTATAGAGTTCCTTTCTTCTTTAAGGGGCAGGGCAAGTGTAAAGTAACTAGAATTGGTTGGTCAGCTTTTTCTTTTTTTTTTACTTTTTCAAAGACTGATGGTTACTCAGTTTTAACGCGGGTTGTACGCAGAAACGTTATCTTAGACTCTCTCAACAATGTGAGCAATTATAGCAAAGGAGTATAATTATATAAATATTTTTTGATATTATATTTTAAAGTGAAAAATCTTAATCATGTCATTCTTACATGTTATAATAATTGGTCTAATTATATCATGTCGATGTATTATACAATAATTTTTTAACTTATATCTCTACTAATTAAGAAGAATTATCCAAACTTCGGTGTTTGATCTCTAATCTCTCAATATCACTTGTATATATAAAAAAATAAAAATAGAAACTCTCCCATTCCAATGGGCTAAGAATACTAAGAATAGTGTCGACTGTAGTTAATGATGTTTTGTCGTTTTGTGCTCCATTTTCTCATTTCTTTTTCCATTACTTTTGTTTGTATGCATATGTATGGAGCAATTTATAATTCACTCTCGTTTAGTCGTTACCTCGTATGTGAACTTAGACTAGTGCTCTCTATCATTACCGGGAAAGAGAATTTGAAGCGTAAAAGATTTGATATTTTCGCAAATGGGTTCCCATCACAATGGTGATGGATTCTCTCTCCGTTATGGCACCCAGGATTGAATTTCAATGGAGTTTGCTTTCGTAGGTTACCGTCTGCACCGGAATTAAAGTTTAAAAAAGAATCGTTGAATAAATACATCTTCCCAAAAAAATTAATTGATGTTTTTGGTTTTCTTTGTTGCTTACATGCCTTCGTCTGCAAGTCCTGGCCGCATAGGCATTGCCCATGTTCTTATCATAGTCATAGTCATGGCGGCTAACGCTGATGCAAGGGCAAGGCATATGGGCTCCACAAACGCTTCTTTGCTTGTTTGTCTTTTTTTTTACTTTTTAGAAGAGAAGACTGAGATGCTTTTGTCGACCTGCTAAACAAAATGGCCGGAAATGATTGATGACCTCTATACATATATGTGTTATGTAGATGACTCACTACTGCGTGCATATCTTCTTCTTCTTCTTCTTCACACTGGCCATGTGGTCCTGTGAGGTCCATGGCCCACCACATTGTGCAATTTCAGGGTTTCCTGAGACTCACAAAGAAGAGGAACGGGGTGGTGTCAAATTAACACAACTTCCTCATTGTAATGTTGGTCGTATATTTGAAACAATCTGTACGTCTGCTTGCTAGAGACAAATATTTTTGTTTGAGATATTTAGTCATATATCCATTATTAGCACTAAAACTATAAATAAACTCTATATAATTTAATTTCTATAAACACACCCAAAAAATGATACCTTACCCTATTGAATTTAATTTTAATTATTAAATTACTTTGATGCCCTATTGAGTGTTTTGGACTTTTTTATGAGGTTTTGGGGTTGGGTTTGTTTTAAGAAATCAATGGCAGTTTTGTAATTTAAAAGAAGTTAAAAGCCTTTTTGTTATGTTGTAAATGAGCTTTAGGTGTGTTTCTAAAGTCCATTTTATATATGGTTTTTTTTTTATAATTTGGGCTCATATATTGGGTATAATAGTTAATCTCCCTTTTTGTTTTAGGGTTTTTGAGGTAGCTTAGCTTGGTTCATGACAACAGACCGACCTATTAGTTCAGTCCCTCCTAAACATGGCATACCTAATTCAGGCTACTTTCGTTTTATTGCTTTATTTTTTCTTTTTCTCCTCATTTAATAAGTAAAATATGTTAAGATTACATAGAAGTCCGTCTCTTTGAACTTTTACAAAATGAGAAGAAAGATAGGAAGAAAAGGATAATGAAACGGGATAAGGAAAGTTTTTACGGAGTTTATGATAACAAACATGCACTCATGAGTATGAAACAGCTGCATTCCATTTCATTATTTCTTATAACATTAATTTAGGTTGTAATCAATGATGAAAATATCGGCCGATATATCCCTTTTTTTAGGTGTCGATATAGATATATGGGGGTAAGCTTATTTCTTCCCCCTTATCTGCGATAACTCCCGATATCCTCAATATTTACCGATACCAGACAAATAACCCAAAAATTTGTCTTTAGTTTTGAAAGTAATCATAAGTCCCAGCCACTGAATCAATGTCACAATGTCAAAAACCAAACTCTAATACTTAGTAACTTCTCCTTTTTTTCTTCTCAAGCATTTCGGCTATCTTTGGCTCATCCTCTCCTCTCTTTGGTTGCTCGGTTTCTTGTGTGTTTGATTTTATTTTTCACCTAATCTTCTATCTCTCATTTCCGTTATCATTAAGTCTGACTCTTGTAATATAATGTTGGGTTATGTATTAATGGGTAGGGTTTGGTTATGTTTGAATAATGGTGTCTTTGTTGTGTTAAGTCTAATTGTATTTATTTTGGGGATTTTCATCGTAGATTATATACATGCACATTTCATCATATTCATATCTTATATTATCGAGCCTTCAATTTATGGATATATCCCCCAAAATATCTATAAAGAAATATCTATAAATTGAAGGCCCAATAATATCTGTATCGCCGATATTTTCATCCTTGTTTCTAATAACATTTTCAAATAGCAAATGGACAGTACACCTGAACATAAATACAAGCAGGATCCAGATCGACCAATTGCAAGCTATCCATAGGACCATAGTCATGCATCATCACATCAGTCTCTTCTGGCAATTAAGAGTGAGGTTCCATTTATAATACGTAAGAAATCATCACATTAATATCTCGATTTTTACCAAAAGAAAAAAAGAAAAAAAGAAAAAATCATAATCAAAGTAAGCAGTTTGGAAAATGAAACTGTAATGGCAAGTCCAAAAGATATGTATCATTGACAAATGACAAGTCGATTGAAAGGTCATGCAATTCCTTATCCGAACACACACTATCTATCTGCTCTTTTAGGATAACCCCTCACTAGAGACTAGACTTAAAATTATGCTAAAATCCGCTAATCCCTTGTCCTTTTCCTTGATTATGTCATGCAATTATCTTTCATTTTGAAAGATGAACATGTCAATGGGGTCCTACTTCAGCCATGGATCAAACTCTATCTATCTCCCAACCTTCCTCTATACCATGTTTCCAAATTCTTCATAATAATTATTATTTTGCACAAAAGTTTGCTGACCATATCCACCTTTATCTCCTTATCCTTTACTTTGCTTGGTTTATTCACATACATCATACATATCATATGCCACTTGTTTATTATAATTACAGTTTATTCGCGTAGGTCCCAATTCCCAACTACAAAATGGAGAGCAGCTTACAAAATAACAATAATGCAATGAATACCAATTTGTCGCATGAATTACTTTAGGTTTTCTGAACCAACATGATTCAGACTAAGTTCGGGCGGAAAACAAATTAAATGTAACCAGCAAGCATCTTCTATTGTCTTGCTCTTTTCCCTTTTCCTTATTCCGGAATTACACACTTTTTCAAATACCTTTTGTGGAGCTACATCTGGGAATTGGATATTCATATCCTGACCTTGCAATCTCTCTTTTACACGTGTCATGGACCCACCGAGGACACTTGTAATTGGGATGCTGACGCGATCCCTGTCTAATAACAAAAAAACCACCCAACTTGCAGTGTTTTTTCATAACAGTCGGCTGTCGTTTTGTTCCATTTTCACAAGTGTGTGAGTCACTCGTGTCCGAAGCTATCTTCAATTGAGAGAAGGTCGTTTTGGGCAAGGAAGAGGACCGATAAAATGACGAGGCAAATCATGTGGTGGAAAGATTAATGTTTGTCATGTATGTACCTACAAATTTGGTAAGTGGGCTCTCAAAATACATTTTCGATCATCACCTTACACTACTGTGTACTGACATATTGATATCGTATAAGATTCATGTCTTGTATAGGGGATCCTGATCTACTGTTAAAGTTGACTCTCAAGAGGATGGAATAATGCTAGAGTCACAAAGTTATTACACTAATTTTAAATTGTCGTGTTTGTATTTTATTTGTTTTCTCTGATTTTTTTTTTTTTTGGAGAGAAAAACAGGGATTCATTAATCATTTGTTTTCTTTGATTTAGACCTCATTTATTCATGGTAGATAAAAAATTATGACATTAATTGGTAATTAAAAATTACCATCTCTAGTATAAGCAGGTTAAACCAGTTAGCCAGAATAGTGAGCTCTTTTCACCCAAGTTTGATTTTCCTCTTCATAAATTAGATTAATTCATAGTGATTTAAAATGGAGAAAAAAACTAGTGTTTCTATTAATGTTGTGTACAATAAGTTGGTAAAGTGTTAATGGAGATGAGAATCTGAGGTTGCTTTGCCAATAAGCCAATGTGCCACTGTGCCACGTACCGACCTCTGGTAGTATATGGAGTAAGCTTCTCGATTTATGATGTGGCAGAGTGTGATTGGGTTGGCAGCATGCACAGTGGAGGGTTTGGCACGCTCCCCACGGATGTGGAAATGGTAAAAGTGATGGGCCGCGTCCGGTTGGGACCCAGTGGACCCTGAGCTTTGAGTGTTGAGGGCTTGTACTTTCTTATGATGCTGCACTCAGTGGGGACCAAAGGGATTCACTGAATGTGTGGATGGTCCTTCTCTTCCAATTTGGAATTTTGAATTAATATTGGAATTTGGATGGATGCATTGAAGCTTGAGAATTTTGAATTAAACTGCTGCTATGCTAGCAGAGAAGAATACAAGCTATCCATAGGACCATAGTCATGCATCATCACATCAGTCTCTTCTGGCAATTAAGAGTGAGGTTCCATTTATAATACGTAAGAAATCATCACATTAATATCTCGATTTTTACCAAAAGAAAAAAAGAAAAAAAGAAAAAATCATAATCAAAGTAAGCAGTTTGGAAAATGAAACTGTAATGGCAAGTCCAAAAGATATGTATCATTGACAAATGACAAGTCGATTGAAAGGTCATGCAATTCCTTATCCGAACACACACTATCTATCTGCTCTTTTAGGATAACCCCTCACTAGAGACTAGACTTAAAATTATGCTAAAATCCGCTAATCCCTTGTCC